AAGTTAAAATCTCCTAGACGGATACAATTCCCTCTGATATTCATTTCTCTAATACCATTAGAGAGATCTCTGCCCACATTCAAATTTGACCCTGAGGGCCATGCATAGCAGGATAGTTTCATGCCTGTAGCTGTGCCAATGGCAGCCAGCAGCATAATGTCGGTGACTCTTTTGGTGCCCCCAAGTACTCTCAAAGGTACACCTGGGGCTACTGCCCCAGTCACTCTCCCTTTAGTTATGCAGCTGGTGAGGGCCTACAGCAGACTCCCAATAGAAGACTTATTTTTTTTATCACTCTTCCTCAAAATGATTTTGACCCAAACTCATTTTTATCTGACCTCTCTTTGTATCTTCAGCTTATCACATTATTAACATAAAATGTTATCTCATCATATTTAGTTCTATTTCCTGAGCAGTGCATGTTCTTCAATACCTGTGTTCATGATAATTGCAATTCCATCATGATTCTGTTATCTAATACCTGGTTTCATGTCCTGTACCTGTAGCTCAGGTTTCTCCATGTTGTGGTCTAGGGTCCTGGGATTTGTGGAATACTAGTCAGTTTTTATTGACCAGTCCCTGTTGTCTAGCCAGCTTAAGTTCAGCCCTCTCACTAACTTTATCACCTACTTTCTCTTTGCTGTCTATCATTCTACTTTCATAACCATTGTTTAATAATTTGCCCTATCCTCATTTATATGTTCCTTTCTCTATGAACTAGGAGTGGAGGTAAGATCGGTGTAATCCAACTTTCTCCCCTCACTTCTTTGCGGAGAGATCTTGTATGTCATAGCAGCCTTGCTTGCAGAAGGCTATTCCCCATGTATACAGGTAGTGTCTCTTCTTGAAGAATTTGTTTTACCTTGATACCAATGGTTGAATATCCTAACAGCTTCTTCATAGCACTAGTCTTGAGGCATTTGTTGATCTTCATTATATTATCATGCTACCATCCTTCCTTCTCTAGGGGCCAGAATCTCAATAAAGCTCACCTGAGCCACTACCTCCTGGAGCATCATCCCCATTTGTTGTAGCTGCTTGTGATTTGTTCTAGTGGGAATCTTGCAGGGTCATTACTCCCAGCAGGAAAGATCAGTGAACTCTAACTTATTTATATCAGGTTCCTTTTTAGCCTCAGGCCCGTATCTTTTACCCTTACTCCTAACAGACAACACACTGTCCTATTTTCTGAGTCTATTCTTAAAGCAATTCTTCAGAAGTCAAGAAACATAGGCCTTTTTCGCACGTTTTTCACCCCTGTGCTGTGCTGTCTGCTTCAGACAGCAGGGCTGGCCCCCATTCCTCGCTCTTCAGCTGGAGCAGGGGCAAGGGTGGGTCCCAATGCTGGCCAGCATGGTCCCCTAAAGCTAAGGGGCAGGGAGAGGGTTTATTCCCCTCTCCCACCAGGGATCACAGTCGGGGCCTGCCTGGCTGGGTGAAGCAGCCCTTCAGGGTAACCCCTGCCCTTCACCACTAGTGGCAGAGGATGGAGTTGGGGCCTGTGTGTGGGCAGATCCAGCCGGCTGGCATGGTCCCATCTGCTGCCTTGCCTGCAGCTGAGGTTGGGGGTCTGAGCCGGGCTGGCCTATGGACACTACTGATGGTGGGCGTAGAGGGGCCAGGCCCTTTTGAGCAGCCTGTGACTTAGGCTGGGGTTGCAGGAGCTGTGTTCCCGGATTGCTCCTGGCTTCCTGCACCCAGGCTGGGCCGAGTGGTCATGGAGCTGCAGCCAGCTGGGAAGGCCTGGTGGGGCCAACCCGGGCTGGTCCATGGGAGCAGGGCCCTTCTCAGCCAGCTGTGACTGCGACAGCCCAGCCCAGCCCAGTGGTATGGGTGGTGGCTGGCCAGGCAGCTGTGTGGAGGCGACACCACTGCAGCTATGGGCAAGCACCTCAACAGCCAGACTGGCCTCATAGGATGTGTTAATTGTGCCTGTGGCTGCCTGGGCCAGCTTGGAGGTGCTGGTAGGCCCAGAGCCCGGCAGCCACTTGCTGGTAGGCCCAGAGCCTGGCAGCCACTTGCTGCAGTGGCTCATGTGCCCATAGCTGCTGCCACCATGTCCCCTGTCATTGTGCAGCACCCAGCCCGCTGCAGCTGCACCAGACCAGCGGGGTAGTTCTGCCTCCCCTGCCCTTGCTCCAAGTGGGTGGAAGCTTCAGCCCAGCAGCTTCTGCCCAGCACATGCAGCTCCAGCTCCCAGCCACCTTCCACCCACCCACCCACAGGGGTTGCTCATTGTGCCAGGTGGGCAAAGTGGATGGAAGGCGGTCAGGAGCCAGAGCCAGTTTCATGTGCTGGGCAG